TAAATATAGTAACGCAGGATTTTAACTTAGGGGTCAAAGTGCAGGGCTGAGATACGCGGAAGACATACTTGCAGAAAGGGAAAGAGATCTAGAAACAGGATTAAATGGTATGGAGGGAGTACTATCTAGAGACTACAGTATAAAAATAAACAAGGAAAAAACAAAAGTAATGAAATGCGCGAAAAGAGAATAAGGAGAGGAATAAGATAAAGATCCGAATAGGAAACGACACTGTAAAGCATGTAAAGGAATTTTGCTATTTAGATAGTAAGGTTACACAAGATAATCGTAGCAAGGAAGTCTTGGAGCTAGTACAGGAAAATAGGGAAATGTGGAAAACCGCACAGAGAAAACGAGATAGAATGATAGGGCACGTGATACGGAGGATTAGTACAGCTAGCTATAGAAGGTAGGTCAGAGAGCAAGGGAGGGGTAGGACGACAGAGGCTTAGATACATATAAACCAAATAGTTAGAGACGTAGGCAAGGGTAGTTATGTAGAAGTGAAAAGATTAGCACAGGATAGAAAAGGGTGGAGTACTGCGTCCAACCAATCCTAGGATTACGTATATATGTATGTATATTCGGAAAGCGGAATGAGGTGATTATAAATGAGCCATTGTCATTAAATAACCGCAAGGAGGGTTCGCTAAGTATTTAGCACCGAGTCGAATTCACAGAGGCGTGCATAACTTATAAACACTTCGTCGTAGTACGATAAGCGGAACTTAATTACAGTAGTTACTAAGAGAAGGGGTATAAATATTTGTGAATTCGTGCTCATAAGTTAAGAAATTACACCCCACTTACGAAAATGTGTTCTCTTACAGTAAAGGTTAATCAAGAGTGTCGACTTCTTATTTATTTTTTACCCCTTACCCTTGAGGCCAGAAGAGGGTTATAACTCGACGAACAGCCGAGGCATATTAATATAATTACCCTACACACAATTTGTTTAAACATAAAAAGTAGGAGAAAAGGTAAATTTGTAACATCAACTGTATATATTAAGAACGATTTTCTAGCCTTTTACCTTCTGAAAAAGGAATTCCAATTTTCGTATTTTATTAAACAAACTTGATTCTAAATCAAACTAAATCCAAGGCCTTCAAGATCAGTAGCGCCCCCATCCCCTACCGAATTTGCAAAAATTACTTGTGGCGGCCTAAGGCTTCAGACGATTGGAGTGACGTTAGGCAATATTTTTCGAAATATCCTTATCAATTTCTAAATAAACTAAATTTTTCGAATCTTTTGCTTTAGGTTTTTAGTAGATTTCTGGAATATTTAAATTTTCCTGTGCAATTATTTATATTACACCTATTTTATGAAAGTGTAGTGATACCTACCAACAAAAACGATCACGATATCAATGGCGTCTTAAAATTTAATAAGATGAGCTATAATTGTAAACAACCCAATTTCTGTTGATAACTAAGTAGAGATATCACATCTATCTATGATAAATAAAAGCGTTTACGATAATTATCATGTCCCTTTTCAATTGTTAGAAAGAAGTTGCTCAACGATTGCTACTTATATCAAATCAATCCACTTATACTTGTTATTCAAGAATTTTAGATAAGTGACGTACGTGTTTTTATAAAACAAATCTTCTATATCTATCATTGTTTTAATAAACAGGCCACTTACCAGCGCAGAATTCACGGACTCAAAGTGAAACAACCCGGGAAAGAGTCCGGCTGAGGCATGAGGTATCAAATTTCGGGAATGAATGAACACCACTAAAATTAAGCAAAAGGTCAATACGACGATACATTAAGCTGGAATTGAAAATTTATTCCACTCACCTTTGGATTTGTAGCCATCTTTTCGTATTTATCAATCAATTAAAAAACACAAATTACTTTATTTCTCTTACAGTATTAATGCCCTCAATAGTTATTTGTACAAAGCTCTTGGAGATACTTGGAAAGCTAATAGTTGTGGGCTTTTAAAGCTATTAAAGATTGTTAAAACGGAAAACATGAGTCAAACCTTCTGGGAGCAAGTACTTCTGGGGCGAGTTTCCGTAGCCCCGATAATTCCGTGTCGTGTGAGTGAGCGGTGACTATTCTGCGCGTCAATCTTCTGTGGGCGAACTTTCTAGTAGTGAATATTCAAGGGGTGAATTTTTTTGAGGCAGAGCACCTTTCGGGGACAAATCTCCCAGGAGAGAATATTCCGGGAGCAGGTCTTCATGGGGGCGTGTTTTCTAGGGGGATAATTTTCTGGGGGTCACTTTAACGGAGAGCATCGTTAGAGGCCAATCTTTTTACAATTAAGTCTTATTACTGCACCAAAATATAGAATGGTGCCACAAACATAAGGACGTGACCACGTATACTTTGGTGGGCGAATTTTCCGAGGACGAATTTTCCCGAGAACACTTTCCGGAGGGCGAGTTCTTTTGGGGACGAATATTCCGGGGGCGTGTTTTCTTGGGGGCTAATATTCTGGGGGTGACTTTAACGGAGAGCATAGTCCGAGGCGAATCTTCTTACAATGAATTCTTATTGTACTGCACCAAAAATATAGAATAGTGCAACAAAAATAAGGGGGCCCCGTACATTTTAAGGAGCGAATTTTCCGAAGACGAGTTTTCCAGAAGTTAATTTTCAGAGGCTAATCTTCCGGGGACGTTTTCTCTTGGGGGCTAATATTCAGGGTGCGACTTTAACGGAGAGCATCTTCCGGGGCGAGTTCTTACAATTAATTAAGTCTTATTAATAAATCCACCAAAAAGACAGAGTGGAGCAAGAAACATAAGGTGATCCCCTAAATTTTCAGGGGCGATTTCTCCGAGGACGAATTTTCTGGAGCAAACCTTCCGGGCGCAAATACTGCGAGGGCGCCTTTTGTTGGGACGAATATTCTGGGGGAGAATTTTCAGGAGCTAATCTTCCGGGGGCGTGTTTTCTTTGGGGCTAATTTTCTGGGGGTGACTTTAACGGAGAGCATCGTCAGAGACGAATCTTCTTACAATGAAGTCTTATTACTGCACCAAAATATAGAATGGTGCCACAAACATAAGGACGTGACCACGTACACTTTGGTGTGAAAATTTTCCGAGGACGAATTTTGCGGAGAAAACCTTCCGGAGGGCGAGTTCTTTTGGGGACGAATAAACTGGGGGCGAATTTTCAGGGGCTGATCGTTGAGGGGCTAATATTACGAAGGCGACTTCAACGGAGAGCATCTTCGGGTGAATCTTCATACAATGAAGTTTTCCGGGGACGAATTTTGTAGGACAAACCTTCCGGGCGCGAATACTACGGGGGCGAGTTTTGTTGGGGACGAATATTCCGGGGGCGAATTTTCAGGAGCAAACCTTCCGGGGGCGTGTTTTCTTGTGGGTTAATTTTCTGGGGGTAACTTTAACGGAGAGCATCTTGCGGGGCGAGTCTTCTTACAATTAATTAAGTCTTATTGATTCACCAAAAATACAGAGAGTGGAGCAAAAAACATAAGTTGATCCCCTAAATTTTCAGGGGCGATTTTTCCGGGAACGAATTTTCTGGAGCCAACCTTCCGGGCGCGAATTTTCTTGGTGGTTAATATCCCGGAGGCGGCCTTAACGAAGAGCATCTTCGGGTGAATCTTCTTACAATGAAGTCTTATTACTGCTCCAAAAATATACAATAGTGCAACAAACATAAGGGGACCCCGTACATCTTCGGTAGCGAATTTTCCGCAGACGAATTTTCTGGACTAAACCTTCCGGGAGCGAGTTTTTTTGGAGACTAATACTCCAGAGGAAGATTTTCAGAAGGGGCGTGTTCTCTTGGGGGCTAATATTTTGGGTGCGACTTTCACGGAGAGCATCTTCCGGGGCGAGTCTTCTTACAATTCAGTGTTATTAATCCACCAAAAATACAGAGTGGTGCAAAAGACATAAGGTAATCCCCTAAATTTTCAGGGACCTTCCGGGCGCGAATACTGCGTGGGCGAATTTGTTTGGGAACGAACAGTTCAGGGGCTAATTTTCAGGCGTTAATCTTCCGGGGCGTATTCTCTTAGGGGCCAATATTCCGAGGGCGACTATATTTTTTATTTATTTTTGCCTTTATTTTTAAGAGGGCTTTCAGGAAAATCTGTTCTACCAACCCCGTTACCCCGCCTACTATACATTTACCAAATCAATGCCCGAACCCGGATTCGAACCAGGGACCGTTAGTACCGCAGTCCAGTCAACATTAGGTGACCCCGGAAAGGGGGAGGGGGTCTCGGGCGCGAATATTTCGGAGGAAATATACAACTTTCGTAATGGAGAATTTTTATTTGCTTACTTAACCGCAAATAGAAAAGTGTCGAGGCAAATGCACATTTTTATGTACGTTAATTTCTGTTCTACTTTGAAGTCTGGAATCAAAGGTCCATCAGACACAGGGTGTTCCAAAAAATTGCCACTGTCAGAAAATTAATGATTTTTAACAAAATGTAAATGTTACCCGTGCCAAACCAGGTGTTTCATTACATTTCCCATTTTACCCCCCTAGTGTAACCCCTACATACCAAGTCTTGCGAGTCTATTTGCTTTTGTAATATCAATAGCTCAGCGTAATTGTAGCACAGTAGAAACTGTCAAAAGCATTCATCCAGTGATTTTGGATGACTCTTCCTACAAAATGAACCTTCATAAGATACGGTACGTTGGCCCAACAAAAAGACAATTGTGAACAAATTCAAGGAAGTGAACTTTTTATTTAAAAAAACGCAAGGGTTGAAATGTAGGTTAGGAGTTAAATATAACACTAACCTTACCCTAATACCACGCCGCGCCGGTTAGGTCACAACACCACTTTCGCAAAAAGAAGATGCGAGTGGGAATTTTCGTGGAGGTTATGCGACGTTAGCGTTCCTGCGATCCCAAAAGAAATGCCCGTCCCGCTCTACAGTATTTTCGGCCCTTCTCCTGGCCGATCCCGCTCCTCGTTCCAAAAATGGTAGACCGGCCGCGATGTTACGCTTTCCGGGATTGGGAGACGTTCCCGTCCAATCCCGTTCGCCGTTACATTTTCGGATCTGGTTGCGAACATTTAAATTTCTTGCGGTGCGCCTTGCCTCGTCCAGAACGCCTTTCGAACGTAAGTGCAGCAGCAGGTGTGCCTCTTTTACCTTTTTTTTTTAATATCTAAGTGTGTGTCATCCACCCTGAAATATGCGAATTGTTTAAAAGCGAAACGAGGATTTAATTGTGAAGTGTTAAGTGATTTGTGCACGTGAGGGAGAGAAAGAGTGGTTTAGTGGCGGCTCAATTGTCATACCAGGTCTATTTTGTGATTTTTTGGATTTTGCTTCAAGGGTTGAAGGTAAACGGTTTTCTGTAGGCTAGATGCTGGTATGACGCTGAGGTGTCATTAAATTAGTGAGCGAGTTTTTAAGCTGGTGGAAAACACGCCATGGTGGTTTATGTAACAATTGGTTACGTCATCCACCTTTCGATTTGAATTGACGCGCATGTCTTACTTACTATCGCTCGGTCCATACATGGCGGCCCTTCGGCTTGCCTATTTTTAAAAATAAACGGCGTCCGTCATCGATTCTAAACTTAACTTTGGAGCATTCCGATCCATTTTTCTTCAATAACCGCGGCGACTTTTTGGAAAATTGAATTCCGCAGGCGTCGATTGTGCACTTTATTGGCATCCGGGAACGGCGCTGTATTTAGATGTGCCACTTACTCGCGGTCTATTTATAAATTCGGATCCGTCGAAATCTTATACAATTGAAAACATGTGGCGTCGCTATTAATAGCGTCCCTGTCCCATTTTACATTCCGCCAGCTCGAATTAACGCGGGCACTTTGTTGTAGGAAGGCTCTTAGGGCTGTTCCGCGTGTCTCTGTAGCCCCATCATATAGAACAAGTTCACCATGCCGAAGGAAGTGAAATCTCAGGAGGATCCCGATCCTACCCCATACTTGTTTGTGTCACTCGAGCAGAAACGCATCGATCAAACAAAGCCCTATGACGCCAAAAAAGCTTGCTGGGTGCCAGATGATAAGGAGGGTTTCCTTCTTGGTGAAATTAGGGGAACCAAGGGTGACCTCGTCACCGTTGGAATTCCTGGAGGAGAGGTAATTCCTTTTTTTTGTTAATTTATAGCAATTTAATTAATTACAAACAATAACACAAATTGTGCGAATAGGAAAAGACATTTAAGAAGGACCTGCTTAATCAAGTGAACCCGCCGAAATTCGAAAAAGTCGAAGACATGGCCGACTTAACGTTTTTGAACGAAGCCGCCGTTTTGCACAATCTTAAGCAGCGCTATTACTGCCAACTAATTTACGTAAGTCACTTACGAATTCTTTACTAATTAGTCTTTCTCCCACCAGGAAAAGCACTTTAAGAAAGAACAAGTGCAACAGGTCAATCCTCCCAAATATGAGAAAGCGGAAGACATGTCTAATTTGACATATCTTAACGATGCTTCAGTATTGCACAACTTGAAGCAACGTTATTATAATCAACTCATTTATGTAAGTCAGGCGTTTGCCTTAAATTCACTGTGAGCCGAAACCCAAATGAACTTGGGCGGAGATTGATGCTGAGTGACCATTGGATCCTGAGTCAACAAAACCGGTACCACTGACGTACTTGGTTTTATCTAGGACTTTCATGTTTTTCTCTTCTACAAACATTTAAAGGGTAGATCCGCACCTCAGTTTCAAGTCCAATTTTACTAGTTTAGGCTATGGAAAGTATCTTTCAGTTAAATTTAACAAAAGTAGACTTGCAGTTAAGGAGAGTACTGTGACAAAGGTTAGAGATCCCTTTTGTGTGTTTGTAGAAAATAGTGTTTATTACATGTGTTTGAAATACTCAGTATGGTTGTCACCCTCGGCTTCGCCTCGGGCGGCAAAATCCACACCTCGTAACTTTGACACTTGTAATGGAAATTGCTATTTTCTGAAACCGGTACCACTGACGTACTTGGTTTTAGTACCACTGGTACTTTGACTGTAGACGAACCCCTAGTACAGTGGGCGTCTTAATTTTCACGAAACCAGTACTAGAGACGTATATGGTTTTTTTTCTGTTTTGAGTGCTACGTGTGGTTAAATTCGTTGGCGGTGGTCTGACTTGTTTATCATCTTTCAGACTTACTCCGGCCTTTTCTGCGTTGCTATTAACCCTTACAAACGTTTCCCCGTCTACACCAACCGTTGCGCGAAGTTATACCGTGGCAAAAGGCGAAATGAAGTACCACCACACATTTTCGCCATTTCTGACGGTGCCTACGTTAACATGCTTACGAGTAAGTCAATCTGACGTTTAGCAAAACCACTCTGACCCTTTTGCCTTACAGACCACGAGAATCAATCTATGTTGATTACGTAAGTATATCCGTTGATCGTTGAGACTGTGATAGTAAGTGGTTTTCTGTCGATAGTGGTGAATCTGGAGCCGGAAAGACTGAAAACACGAAAAAGGTAATCGCGTACTTCGCCACCGTCGGCGCGTCAACGAAGAAAGATGAAGGAGCGCAAAAGAAGGCCAATCTTGAAGATCAAGTCGTACAAACCAATCCAGTACTTGAAGCCTTTGGTAACGCCAAAACCGTCCGTAATGACAACTCCTCCCGTTTCGTAAGTCAACTCCCCACTTTCCTGAAAAAAATCGCCTAACACCCTTATGTCCTAGGGTAAATTCATCCGTATCCACTTCGGACCGACTGGTAAATTGGCCGGTGCCGACATCGAAACCTGTAAGTACGAAACTTCTGCAGAATCTCGGTCACTCACCATTTTCTTCCAACAGATCTGCTGGAAAAGGCCCGTGTCATCTCCCAACAGCCCTTGGAACGATCATACCACATCTTCTACCAGATCATGTCCGGATCAGTTAAGGGACTTAAAGGTATAACTTAGGGCGTTAAAAAATTCAATATATTTAGCTACAACGAGCGGCCATGTCGAGGCGTCACTCATCCCTAACATGTTCTTGTACAATTCAGATATATGTCTACTGTCAAATAACATCAGCGATTATTACTACGTAGCGCAGGGCAAAACTACCATTCCCAACGTAGATGATGGGGAGGAATGTAGTTTAACTGACGTAAGTGGATGGGGACGGCAGGGCGTTTTAGTAGGTCGATGGCGCAGATGATCTAATCTGATAGAGTAGCCCCTTACGAGCAGGAGAACACCACTCGTAAATTAGTCCAAACACTTTCAAACGTAGACCGTTTGGTACGAGCCCTCACGAACCGGGCTCGCCTTACCTTTGTCGCACAATTACCAAATGTCGATCATTTTTTAATCGTGCACACGAACCTCTTTCGTTGGCTATAACTGTACAGGGTGCACACTGGAGGAAGGTGACAATCCGTTCGTTTATCCAAAAACTGGATTAATCCAAATCGACGAAAACATCACGTATTCCCTTCTTTCTATGGACACCCTGTATAACAAAATGTACAAAGTTATTAGCTGTAAGCTTTAAAAGTCGACCAAGACTCGACCTAAAGTTCTTTGATTAACCTGTAGAGAATTGTCTTCTGTCTAACAACATCCACGACTACTTCTTCGTGTCGCAAGGCAAAACCTCAATTCCAGGAGTGAATGACGGCGAGGAAGGCGAAGTCACCGACGTAAGCGCAGCTTCCACGTACTAACAAATCTGTCCAGTTTGTAGGCAACGCTACTAAACCTCAACGGGGGGTGCATCGAGCGCGCCTAGCGTCCGTTCACTGACCATCTTGTTTCTGCCACAGAATTATGCCAATTAAGCTCCTGGATTTACGACTATCCGTACATAAGTCGCGCGCAAATCCACATTCCCGGCATCAACGACTATCGTGAGGGGGAATTGACAGACGTAAGCAATTGAGTTCGTCCATCCCCCATCCCTGACTGGGCCAGGGAGCGCGCGGTTCAAATTAAATTGGCGAGAGATACAAGATGGTCGAAGACGAATTCTAGGCATCGCTCGCTCCCTGTCGCATGACCTCCCTACGTGACATACACAACACCCCCGACATTGCCAAAGGTCAGCGCTGTAAATACGCAGGTCGTTATCATCAAACAACCACATACGACACCGCTTACAGCTTTTAATCTCCAACAGATATTTGCTGTCTCACAGACAACATAAACGACTACTTTTTCGTATCGCAAGGAAAGACCACAATTCCTAACGTAGACGATGGAGAGGAATGTTTACTGACGGATGTAAGTACCGACACAATCACAGTCTAAATTTTTGACTTTGACCGAAACGACCAAAAATCCTTTAGTCTAAAATTTTTAAAGCTTCGACGTTAATAACTGCAGCGGGTAAGTGTTTTAAAATCGCTTCGGCTTCATTTGTATATACTCACGCTGTAAATTTCGCTGGCAAGTCAAAAATTTCGCTTTTCGCACCTCGGCTCACCAAGAACCCTCACTAACGCAATTTTCATAATCTAGGAAGCTTTCGACATCTTGGGCTTCACGCAAGAGGAAAAGAATGACGTTTACAAAATTACCGCCTCCGTCATGCACATGGGCGGTATGAAGTTCAAGCAGAGAGGTCGCGAGGAGCAAGCCGAGGCTGACGGTCAAGAGGTGACGGGCTGAGGTTCGGTGTTTTAGGGTGGTTTAACTTGGTCTGTTCGCAGGAGGGTGAGCGTATCGCCAAGCTTTTGGGCGTAGATACCGCCGCCTTGTACTTGGGTCTCTTGAAGCCAAGGATTAAAGTAGGCAACGAGTTCGTGACGCAAGGTCGTAATGTCAACCAGGTCAACTACTCCGTCGGTGCCATGTCGAAGGCCATGTTTGACAGGGTCTTCAAGTGGCTCGTCAAGAAGTGTAACGAAACCCTAGACACCAAGCAGAAGAGACAGCACTTTATCGGCGTACTGGATATTGCCGGGTTCGAAATTTTCGATGTAAGTTTCGCCGTCCGATTTACAGGAACTTCAACAGCCCGGATCCGAGGAGTTTGTCCCCCCGGCTTATCGCTTTCTTTTATTTTCATTTGTAGTATAACGGCTTTGAGCAGCTTTGCATTAACTTTACCAACGAAAAGCTTCAGCAATTCTTCAACCATCACATGTTCGTACTCGAACAGGAGGAGTACGAACGCGAAGGCATTATCTGGACCTTCATAGATTTTGGCATGGATCTCCTTGCTTGCATAGAGCTCATTGAAAAGGTATTACTCTTTGCACTTTAACCTCTTTGCTCAGCTCAACGCAAGGTAGGGTTTTTTTCTTTTGTTTTGCTCGCTCCTTCCTCACTAACCCATCTCTTACAGGTTTATAATGTGTTATGTAAATGTTAATGTTATTTACTCTAATGGAAACGTCGCTAGCAAAAGGGTTCGCTAGATTTTCGCACCAGACTAATTTCTTCCCTATTGACTACAGTATAACGGATTTGAGCAACTTTGCATCAACTTTACCAATGAAAAGCTCCAGCAATTCTTTAACCATCACATGTTTGTACTCGAGCAAGAAGAGTATAAACAAGAGGGTATTAATTGGGTCTTCATTGATTTCGGCATGGACTTACTCGCATGTATCGAACTTATTGAGAAGGTAACTTGAAGATGGAGCGATTACCCTCGAAATTTTCCCGTAACTCCGAGCGGGGTCGAACTAGGGACCGGGCCCCGACGAGAAGGCAACGGAAGCCTCAATTCCACTGTCTACGGAATGACAGTTCGGAATTGGTTTTGTTAATTGTATGTTTTCTTGTCAGTATAACGGATTCGAGCAACTTTGCATCAACTTTACGAATGAAAAGTTGCAACAGTTCTTTAATCATCACATGTTCGTGCTCGAACAAGAAGAGTACAAAACCGAGGGAATCGAGTGGACGTTTATTGATTTCGGCATGGATTTGCTTGCTTGTATTGAATTGATCGAGAAGGTAATTGGTGATCGAGCGAATCGTGGGAGGATTTTGCTGACGATAATACTATAGCACAAGGGACTGTGCTTTCGCTTTATGTGTCTTTCAGGTTTTTGGCGTACGTGCCCGAAGCGTGTCCTTAGTTTTAGTTTAGCAATAGCACAGCGTGTTGAACTGTCTGGGGCTATGTGTGTTAATGCTTTTGTTAAATCCAGTATAACGGATTCGAACAGCTTTGCATCAACTTTACAAACGAAAAGTTGCAACAATTCTTTAACCATCACATGTTCGTACTCGAACAAGAAGAGTACAAATCCGAGGGGATCGAATGGACATTCATTGATTTCGGCATGGATTTACTTGCTTGTATAGACCTTATCGAGAAGGTAATTTACGGGTTCATGAAGAAACTCCGTTTACAAATTAACAGACCTTGTGCTTTTTGTCTTATTTAGCTTAACTAGGTGGCAGTTACACCAGTGTAACGGTGACGAACTGTCGTGAAACGCTTTTTGATTTAACCTTTACTTTTCATGTGCCCAGTTTAACGGGTTCGAGCAACTTTGCATCAACTTTACAAATGAAAAGTTGCAACAGTTCTTTAACCACCACATGTTCGTTCTCGAACAAGAAGAGTACAAAAGAGAAGGAATTGAGTGGGCGTTTATTGATTTTGGCATGGATTTAGTTGCTTGTATCGATCTCATTGAAAAGGTAATTTGCGAGTTGCAAATCTGAGAAGTGTTCACTGTTACAGAACATTGATTTTGTGTTTGTACTAATGATCTTCCATCGAGCTACAGCCGAGCTATTACATCAACTTAATGCATTGCACGACTAACTTACAGTACAACGGTTTTAACCAACTGTGCATAAACTACTCGAACGAAAAGCTGCAGCAATTTTTTAATCACCACATGTTTATCATGGAACAAGAGGAGTATGAAAGGGAGAAAATTCCGTGGACTTTCATTGATTTCGGTATGGACCTTCAAGCGACTATTAACTTAATCGAGAAGGTACATTACTTCCTTCGATAATTGTCACATTTAGATTACGCACCACTGCACCCAGTAGGTATATGCACAGTTACTGGTAAGATTGTTTGCCTCTCACGCTCACTGCTTTGCTAAAAAAGGTATGTGCTTAATCTAACCAACCCGCCTACTCCCGAAGTGGGGTCGGCGGTTTGGTTCGCAACCGCAAGGCTCACTTTTCCCCCCTAATCTTCACTGGTTCATCTAGCCCATGGGTATCTTGTCCATCCTTGAGGAAGAATCTATGTTCCCCAAAGCCACCGACAAGACCTTTGAGGAAAAATTGAACAACAACCACTTGGGCAAATCGCCCAACTTCCAAAAACCGAAACCACCAAAGCCAGGTCAACAAGCTGCCCACTTCGCCATCGGCCATTATGCTGGATGCGTACGTACCACGCTTTGCCCGTCACGGCAATGGTTAACCGCATAATCCGACAGGTACCGTACAACGTCACCGGCTGGTTGGAGAAGAACAAGGATCCCTTGAACGACACCGTCGTTGATCTTTTCAAGAAGGGCACCAACAAGCTCTTGGTCGAGATCTTCGCTGACCATCCAGGTCAATCTGGTGGAGCTGATGCCGGCGGAAAGGGTAAGGTTCACATACAGCCCAAACCAACTCTTCGTCATATCGTTATATCAATGTAATTAAAAATTTGATGACTAGGTTCCAAACGTACAAAGGGTTCCGCTTTCCAAACTGTCTCCAGTTTATACAGGGTAAATACCTTTTCTGCTCACTGTGGACGCTGAGATCAGAACTCCTCCAATCCCATGTATAATATTCCGTCTCCCCTTTTCCACCAAGAAAGCGATAGTGGCTGTTACAGCTTTGTACATACGGCTTTAGTTCATGCTTTGTATTTTAATAGGTGGTCGTGGTAAGAAGAGTGGTAGCATGGCAACCGTATCCTCTTCCTACAGGGTAGGTTAGGTCCGAGTTCTAGTTTGTTTTATGTAGTGACTATGCCTCACACTAACGGAAGTTATTTTATAGAACAACGATAGAAGTAGTGTCCTAATTGAGTAAATAACAGGAATTTATCTTCTGGTTGTCTAGGAGACGATTCCAACTTAGATTACCAACACACAGTCACCACTTGTTGTTTGTGATAGTAGCACCAAAACCAACTGAGTTGGTTGGAAACGTTAATACATTCACCATTTTTACCAATTTGTACCACACGTACGCAGTTGCATAATGAAGATGCAATATACCTAATCAACTGACCTACACACGCGCTTTGTAAGCCTGTTTGATAACCAATTAACTTGCAGTGAAGCTTACTACAAGGAAATAATGTACGTTTACTTTTAGGAACAACTGAACAACTTGATGACAACGTTGAAGGCAACCCAGCCTCATTTCGTACGTTGTATCATCCCCAATGAATTGAAACAGCCAGGTCAGTAGCCAATTACACCTGAACGCAACTGACCCGTCCTTTCCGCAGGTCTAATCGACTCCCACTTGGTCATGCACCAGCTGACCTGTAACGGTGTACTTGAAGGTATCCGTATTTGCCGCAAAGGTTTCCCCAACAGGATGGTCTACCCCGACTTCAAACTGCGGTAAGCATCCCTAATTTCTTAAATTTCTAATCGCTTGTCAATCTTGGAATATTCATCCAATTTTGTGCGCAGTTATATGATATTAGCTCCTGCCACGATGGCGAGCGAACCCGATCCGAAGGAATCGGCCCGAAAGTGTCTCGAAGAGATCGAATTAGATCCCGAAGGTTACCGAATCGGACATACAAAGGCAAGGGTTGAATGTACCCGTCAGTTTTTGAACGTCCAAAATCGTGTTACCCCAGTGAACGTGGCATGAGCCCCGATTGTAAAATTTAGTTTGCATGTTTGACCATGTTCCCATTTAGGTACAAGATCTTAAACCCAACCGCCGTAAGCAAGGAACCCGATCCAAAGAAGTGTGCCACTCACATTTTGGAAGCTAGCGGACTTGATTCTGAACTTTACCGTACCGGTCATACCAAGGCATGTTTTGTTAATATTACCTTATTTCAGGAGGACACCAGCTTCTAGTACGAACGCTGGTTTTTCTAACACATGTAGGCTAAAGCACCCCAAACGGTGCCAGCTCTTTTTGAGGTGCTAATCTCTTTGGTGATCCAAGGAGGTTGGCACCAATTTTTTTGTCTGTATCTACGCTTGTTTACACTTTTGCTTGTGGTGAACACAGATACAAAATTCTGGTCGCCCAACAAATAAAAGATGATACGTCTCCAGAGAAAGCCGCAAAACTTATCCTCGACCACGTTGGTCTGGATTCTGATCAGTTCCGATTGGGACATACTAAGGTACCTACTTGCCGAAGCTTTTGCGATTCATTCTAATTGGCTTTTGCAAATCTACGCTATCGTATACGCTGTAAAGGCGTACAACAATTAATGCTTCAAGCTTTGGTTGGTCGATTGTGCTTTACACGAAAAATCTCCACAGTGGAGAGTGCTCGGTGTAAATCACAGGCTGAATGAAGAATTCGTGCTAACTTTCTCGTGGTATAGGTCTTCTTCCGTGCCGGTGTCTTGGGTCAGATGGAAGAATTACGTGACGACCGCTTGGGCAAGATCATGACCTGGTTGCAATCTTGGGTGCGAGGTTACCTCTCAAGAAAGGAATTCAAGAGACTGCAAGAGCAAAGACTTGCGTTGCAAGTTGTACAACGCAACTTGCGCAAATACCTCAAATTGCGTACCTGGCCATGGTACAAATTGTGGCAGAAAGTCAAGCCCCTCCTCAACGTCACCCGCGTTGAAGATGAAATTAAGGTAAATTTTTCTATATTAAATAACTCGTAAATCATAAATACGGCCATGTCCGCGCCAAGTAAAGGTAACGGGTTAAAAATAAAAAAATTTATGAATCGATTAACTGGACTAGGTACATACTTAAATGTGGGCGACATTGCGAATATTAAAAATAATATCAAATTTTATAACCTGGAATTAGACGATCTATTTTGGAAGCCACTCCCCAATCCGTCATCGCAATCCTTGCATATTTCGTCGATCTCCTCAAGTTTGATCCGCCCATCAGTCGTGATCTGCGTTTTTTTGCTGGAAAAGTGCAGTACCTCCCCACTTTAGTTGCGAGCCGTTCGAGGTACACTTCACATCAAGTGGTGTCGAACGCGAGTGCCTTTTTCCAAATTGAACGATCGAAACGAAATCCTACTTTAATTAAACGACAATGGCTGAAGAAATTATTAATCCGACCGATGTTTTACAGAAACTTGAAGAGAAAGCTGCCAAAGCCCAAGAGGCCTTTGAGCGCGAAGAAAAGGCGAAGAAAGAACTCGAAGCACTTTACGCAAAATTGTTAGCCGAAAAGACCGACCTCTTGTCCCAACTCGAAAGCGAAAAGGGATCATTTGGTGATGTCCAAGAAAGAGCCAACAAATTGCAGGCGCAAAAGAGCGATTTGGAGTCTCAACTTTCCGTAAGTACTTACTTTTTACTCTACGCCACTTCACCATATAAGCTCATACTCAAAATTAATGGCCATGCAAATATGGGGCGAGTTAGTCAAGCACTATTTTTGTCAAAAGTATGTCTCCGTGCATCAGCAACTTTGATTCATCCGTGCAGGAAAAAAACCACGATATTTATAATTTCTGACGAAAGTGTGCTTACCTTCCTCCATAAAATCGCACCTGGCCCGTTCTAAATTTATTTCTTCAACTCAAACCAAAACATGGATTTTAATATCTAATGCCGATCACAATCCTCATAAATGTTCCATTTGTTTATTGTACTTGCAACTCGGTTATCTTCACCATCAAAACCCTAATTTTAACTGACTACATTAAATTCGTAATTTGGCAACATCTCAAATTATCGCACCTACAACACCTAACGATAATTAATCACGATCATGTAGATAGCGCAGAAATTTATAATCGGGCATCGGTCCAAACATACCTGAGACTCATATCACCGTTTTTAGATCTGTCATAATTAATAGTCTCCAATTTGCCAAACAGGAAACCCAAGACCGACTTACTCAAGAGGAAGACGCGCGCAACCAACTCTTCCAACAAAAGAAGAAATTGGAGCAAGAAATTTCCGGATTCAAAAAGGACGTTGAAGATCTCGAGCTTTCAGTCCAGAAAGCCGAACAAGATCGTGCCTCCAAAGATCACCAAATCAGAAACCTTAACGACGAAATCGCGCACCAGGACGAGCTCATCAACAAACTCAACAAGGAAAAGAAATTGCAAGGCGAGAATGGTCAGAAATTGTCCGAGGAGCTGCAAGCGGCCGAAGACAAAGTCAACCATCTCAACAAAGTCAAAGCCAAGTTGGAACAGACCCTAGACGAACTTGAAGATTCACTGGAACGCGAAAAGAAACTGAGAGGCGACGTTGAAAAGGCCAAACGTAAGGTAGAAGGCGATCTTAAGCTGACCCAGGAAGCCGTAGCCGACCTCGAACGCAACAAGAAGGAATTGGAACAGACCATCCAACGCAAGGACAAGGAAATCTCATCCCTCTCGGCCAAACTCGAAGACGAACAATCCGTTGTCGGCAAAGTACAGAAGCAAATCAAGGAATTACAGGCGCGCATCGAAGAATTGGAAGAAGAGGTTGAAGCCGAGCGTCAAGCTCGCGCCAAGGCCGAAAAGCAACGCGCCGATTTGGCCCGCGAATTGGAGGAGTTGGGCGAACGTCTCGAGGAAGCCGGTGGCGCCACCTCCGCCCAGATCGAGCTCAACAAGAAACGCGAAGCCGAACTTGCCAAACTCCGCCGCGACCTGGAAGAGACCAACATTCAACACGAAGGAACGCTCGCCGCCCTCCGCAAGAAGCACAACGATGCCGTCTCCGAAATGGGTGAACAGATCGACCAGCTCAACAAACTCAAGGCAAAGTAAGTCGCTTCCCCTTCCCCTAATCGCGCCATTTCTTGTTCAATTTTATAAACGCCCCCCCCTTAAATTTAGGGCTGAAAGAGATCGGGGAACCATTTATAATGAACTGCAACAAACGCGAGGTGCAGTGGATCTAATCGGTCGTGAAAAGGTAGCTCATGGTTCCCGTTTTCGTAGTCGTTAGACCCTTCGCATGGTCAACCTGCATCTTACCTTTGTTTGTTTATCGTTTGTGTCTTACGTGTACTTTTTTTCTCATAGGGCTGAGAAGGAAAAGGCTCAATACTTCGGTGAATTGAACGATCTCCGCGCTAATGTCGACCACTTGGCTAACGAGAAGGTATAAAGTGTGTCGCAAATATCGGCTTAAAGTAAACCGGAGAAAATGTTTCAGTTTTCTTAATACCTCCATCCCGCTGGCTAATAATTAATCAATGCGTTATTGTGCTTTTGTGCTCAAAATAAACCTGTACACTTTAATTGATCGATTTTTCCCACTTAGGCTGCCCAAGAGAAGATTTCCAAACAACTAGGCCAACAATTGAATGACGTACAAGGTAAATTAGACGAAACCAACCGCACATTGAACGACTTCGATGCCGCCAAGAAGAAGCTCTCCATCGAAAACGGTGACCTCCTCCGTCAATTGGAAGAAGCCGAATCGCAAGTGTCACAGCTCAGCAAGATCAAGGTATCGCTAACCACTCAACTGGAAGACACCAAGAGATTGGCTGACGAAGAAGCACGCGAACGCGCTACCCTCCTTGGCAAATTCCGTAATCTCGAACACGACTTGGATAACATCCGCGAGCAGATCGAGGAAGAAGCCGAAGCCAAGGCCGACATTCAGAGACAACTCAGCAAGGCTAACGCCGATGCCCAATTGTGGCGCTCTAAATACGAATCCGAAGGTGTCGCCCGCTCCGAAGAACTCGAGGAGGCTAAGAGGAAGCTCCAAGCCCGTCTCGCTGAAGCTGAAGAAACCATCGAAGCGCTCAACCAGAAGGTCGTCGCACTCGAAAAGACCAAGCAGCGTCTTGCCACCGAAGTTGAAGATTTGCAACTCGAATGCGACCGTGCCACGGCCATCGCCAACGCCGCCGAAAAGAAACAGAAGGCATTCGACAAAATCATCGGCGAATGGAAACTCAAGGTTGACGACCTCGCCGCCGAACTCGACGCGAGCCAAAAGGAATGCCGCAACTACTCGACCGAATTGTTCCGTCTCAAGGGCGCCTATGAGGAAGGTCAAGAACAGCTCGAAGGCGTACGCAGAGAAAACAAGAACTTGGCCGATGAAGTCAAGGACTTGCTCGACCAAATCGGCGAAGGTGGACGCAACATTCACGAAATTGAGAAGGCGAGAAAGAGGTTAGAGGCCGAAAAGGACGAACTCCAAGCCGCGCTCGAAGAGGCAGAGGCCGCTCTCGAACAAGAAGAGAACAAGGTATTGCGTAGCCAGCTCGAACTATCGCAGGTACGCCAAGAAATTGACCGCCGCATCCAGGAGAAGGAGGAGGAATTCGAAAACACACGCAAGAACCACCAACGCGCTCTCGATTCTATGCAAGCTTCTCTAGAAGCAGAGGCTAAGGGCAAGGCCGAGGCTCTCCGCATGAAGAAGAAGTTGGAAGCTGACATCAACGAACTTGAAATCGCCTTGGACCACGCCAATAAGGTTCGTAATTGTTGTGTGCAAGTTTCAATTGTAACCCCAGTTTGATTTTAGGCTAACGCAGAGGCCCAGAAGACAATCAAACGCTACCAACAACAATTGAAGGACACACAAACCGCCCTCGAAGAGGAACAACGCGCTCGCGACGAAGCCCGCGAACAGCTCGGTATCTCAGAGAGACGCGCCAATGCCTTACAGAACGAGCTTGAGGAATCCCGTACATTACTGGAACAAGCCGACCGCGCCCGTCGCCAAGCCGAACAAGAATTGGGCGACGCCCACGAGCAACTCAACGAATTGGCGGCACAATCCGCATCGTTATCCGCGGCGAAGAGGAAGTTAGAAGGTGAATTGCAGACATTACACGCCGATCTCGACGAGCTCCTCAACGAGGCCAAGAACTCCGAAGAAAAGGCGAAGAAGGCCATGGTCGACGCTGCCAGATTAGCCGACGAACTCCGCGCTGAACAAGACCACGCACAAACACAAGAAAAACTCCGCAAAGCCCTCGAGACGCAAATCAAGGACTTGCAGGTGCGACTCGACGAGGCCGAAGCTAACGCCCTTAAAGGTGGCAAGAAGGCGATCGCCAAACTCGAACAGAGAGTACGAGAGTTGGAGAACGAGCTGGACGGCGAACAAAGACGACACGCCGACGCACAGAAGAACCTCAGGAAATCAGAGCGCCGCATCAAGGAGCTCAGCTTCCAGGCCGAGGAGGACCGCAAGAACCACGAACGCATGCAGGACCTTGTAGACAAACTCCAACAGAAGATTAAGACGTACAAGAGGCAAATCGAAGAAGCTGAAGAAATTGCCGCACTCAATTTAGCCAAATTCCGCAAAGCACAACAAGAACTCGAAGAGGCGGAAGAACGCGCCGACATGGCGGAGCAGGCCATCACCAAATTCCGTGCCAAGGGACGCTCAGGATCCGCCGCACGCGGTGCCAGCCCAGCGGTAAGTACAACTCTCCCTCCTGAAATAAAACAAGGCAACACGTTCACGAATTCGCACACTTACTCCGCACACAAATTCCACGCGTAGTAATTTTGGAATATTTTCCATTATAGCCAACTCGTAAACCGATCGCACTGGATTAAAGTAAGTGGTGCCGTTAACACGAAATTTACGTGTGTGACTTTTTGTTTTAATGCAAAATGTGTTCGTTAAGACGATCGACAAAACGTTATTGTCTTGGACCCTCCAAAGTAATGGAGACCGTTTTCTAAGGTCACCTTGCCGAAGGTTTGCGACCACTAACGATCAATTTCTGTTTACAGCCCCCAAGACCACAGCGCCCAATACTTGATGGCTTCGACGACTTCTAAGAAAATCAAAGCGCTGTGTTATTAACTAATATGGATGAACGCGGACAGAACACACACTGTCTTAACTAGGCATATAATATTTATTTTATAATTATTTTTGTTTTCAAATTAATAGTAATAACGTACTTATTACATGATTCCGTGCCCATGCGTGAGGGATTTTGTCATTCATTTGGGAAGAGACACGTAACTCCATCCGTAACAGCCCCAATAAATCCTCTCGTTCATTGACCATTTATGTATTTACCATATAAGTACCATGTATGTGTGAAATGTATGGCTTAAGGCACCAATAAACACGTCATATCGTTACCATACTTTTAAATTGTGTTCTTTTCACGTTCCCTCTTTTGACATCATTCTGTATTTTCTGTATTTATTTTGATGTTTATTGTTAAACATTTATTGTAAAATAAATTATAATTATACTATTATACACACGCTCATTTGTCACGGCCACATTCCTGCTTTCAGATGCAAGTAGTGTTCTGTTGTTTGCTCTACCATTTAATCTGTCGGGAAACTAGCTACCTAAGAGTGCAGAACGAATTGCTAATCGCAACGTGATTCACACCGGAAAAAATCAAGTTTAGACAAACCCTTCCAAATTTCGATGTGGGTTGCCCAGTTCTGCAGAGGTGAATTTTTGGGTCAGATGAGATGATTCCTCAAGAGAGCAGTCTTACTAACATTGCTTGTTTCTACATTATCAACTACTTTTTAGGCGCAATTTAACAAAACTCCTCAAAATATTGATTCTCAAATTCCCAAAAAACTGATTATTAATGCTGCAGGTGTAGCCAAATCCAGCCAACATGGAGGATGTTTCTGCCATTTCTACTTCAAACAGTTTCGTACACCCACCACACACACGCCATAGCATAACACACAGTCCCTCGGATTTCTTTTAAGCGCAGAAAATACATCACGTTGTCCTTATATGAATTTGATGAGGATAGGAGCACAAAATGTGTAAATTTCAGCAATAGATAACACAACAGCAAAAATACACCTGAAGAAGAGGTCCTTTTTTGATTTCCTACTAAACTCGAGAATTGTGACTTAAACTCACCGACTGCCAAAGCTGAAAATCCGAGTTGCAATAATTGTAAAACCTCGGGTACGATAGGAGCGGTGAGCGAGGAGCGGCGATGCGATACAGGTTACAATAGTGGCGGGAATTAGCATGCGGTAAACTCGATTAATTATTGGTTAGATGACATCATGACATCCCTCGAGCAACTGGTACAACTGATGCTCTTATGGGAATTTGCGATGGAGAATGTGTGAGGGTATGGTGGGCATTCCTTATAATAACTGCAGACGCAGATATGAAGAATATCATCACCTCTTCCATAATTTAAGCAAAAAGCGATTTTTTCAATACACCAGGAAGTATATACAGAAATTTTTGATATTCTGCTACAAAGACTAGCATCGCATTGATAAAAAATTTGCTGTGACTAGCACAGATAGCACCTGCACATCTACGCATGCGCGACTCTGCCCTTTTATATCCAAGAATATGTGTACCAAATTTGGTTCCAATCGGTTCAGCCGTTTAGCCCGAAATGAGAGTGCACACGGACGCACAGACCGACATCATCGAGATATTGTTTGCTTCGGATTCCTGGTGCTTCAAAACGTGTATTTTCGTCAAAAAAGTGGAGGGTTATTTTTTACCCCAATGCAATACCTCCCTTAAAAAAAAGAATTGGCCTTCGAAGTCAAATGTTGTTAATTTCCAGGTCGATTAAACTTGCGATGTAACGGGTGGTCGCTTTATCCGTTTTTTTTTAAAGTTACCTTGTCAATTTTAAATTTTGGTAAGTATAAGAAGATTTACACGTATACCGCTTGGTAGCGAACAGAAACGGAATTACGTCTGAAATTTTCAATAAAAGATGTGCAATTTAACATAGATATGTAGAAGAAATTGAACTTTAAAAAAGTAACCACGTACTCCTTGAGTCCGAAAAAAGTGATTATTCCGCGTATTGGCGATAATTAAACAGTTAAAATTTAAGGACCGCCAGATAAACGAGCTAAGTTTGCGAGTAGTTACTTACTATTTCAGTTGTTAAAGAAAATTTAAGCAAGTAGTAGAAAAATGTTACCGGTTTTTATTTTGAGTGGAAATTTCCAACCAAGAACATGGCTGCTATTTATTTTTATCAATCGGGTACTTAAGAACGCATCGTTAAGAACGCTTTGTGACAAAATGTGAGATACTTAAAGGCTCAATGTTCACTTTAAAATTAGCAGTTATTCTAATGTCTCACTAGGTCATTCATTTACGAGTGATAAAATTTACGCGAGGGAACATTTTCGAATTGGAGACGCGCTGTTCACATAGAAACGGAAATGTACTGAATTTTAAAAAAGAACTATAAATACAGCAGCAAAGAGTTTTCTTCGTTCGCATCGCTAATGGGAACGGCCAGTTGAAAGCATCTTTCCGAAGAGAGAGAATCAATTGTAACCTAAAAGGATAGTGATCCACCTCAGTTACTGAATTTGCATATTGATTTTGTTTAAAGTAACTTTGATATTCCTGAAGAAATCGACCGGTGGGGTCCATTTGTAATAAAAATTTAATTCATTGATAAGAATCAGATCTCAGCAACGCATCTTGGTAATTTTGCTTCAGTGATTATGTATATTTCCACAGGACAATCTACCAACAATTTTTTATGGGGTAAAAGTAAAGTCTCTAGATACGAATTTGTTATATTTCTTTTTATGAATCCAACCAAAATTTTGTATACACAAACATGTAAAGAAAAAAGGAACTGGACCACCTTTGTGTTTATTAATACATTCAAATAACTAGAGCCTTTTACAATATTTACGGACGTCGGCCTCAATCCCATTCACATTCAATTTTTTAAAGTTTTTACGTTTTAACAATTTACTTCAATTCTTTCACAATTAAGATTCTTACTACCACGTACCTAAGTATTTTGAAGAGAGTATTGCTCAACTCCGCTATTTATACTTTTCACGATAACGGCGCGATCTAAATTTTTGTAACAGAAAAAAAACTTAGCGAACCACCGACCTGCTGCTGTAACTGCTACGTGACTGTCTATATCCTATCCTTTCTCTTTTTACTTCGCTACTTATGTTAAGCAAAAACGGATCCAACTAAATTCGGTGACCAGCGTCCCCTCCAAGCCAATAGCGGACCCGCATTTTCGTTCTTTCTTTCGGATATGAAAAGCAATGCAATTCTCACGTTTATCGCTAACGGACTGACTAATGTATGAAGCGGATGAAAAATGTCTATTTTTGCGGTTCAAAGAACTCAAAATTGCGCTAAACCAAACCCTTGAAGGGCACGATCTGATTTAACAGAAAAATATAAGACGTTTAAACCACCATTTAGTCGTCCAATCTTGGAAATGCTGGGTTGCGTTCCATTTAGGATTTGAAGAATTTGGTTCATTGAAATTAAAACCAGAGCTCGTAACGGGGAGAGGCCTTTTCTGTTTCAAAACTCTTACCGTTGAGTTCACTCAACGCTCTTACTGAATTAATATTCAAGGAACGTCCGGCATGGGACCGTCGACCGTGTCAATTTTGAACGAAAAATCAACGTTTCGCCCACTTTGGTAAGGGACTTCATCAGGAAGCAGGATTAATGACTCCGGCCGTGGAAGCCTCCGCTCCTACTGAATGTGTAAATTTTGTATGAGACCTTTCTCGCTGTCTTATTTCAACGATTACAGTTTCTCGTTTTTTACCTGAACAGTCCTCTTTTGAATGGTAATGAATACGGGTGCTAATCACGAAATGTTCCCAACCTTTTTCTGTAATTTTTGGTGATTTCATAATAACGTGGTGCGCAACTAACTTTCTCCTTGCGTAACAATCCCAATATGACTCCAATTAGTTTAATCATGAACGAATTGGATCTGTCCAGCCCCAAGGATCAAATGCGCCCGAAGTTCATTCATCAAACCCACGGTTTTTTAATCTTGGAAATTCATCGCTTCCCATGGACTCGAAGTGAGATCAGTCGGCGTAATTCTGACTTGGCTACTTTGGGCACGTAAACCCCATTAAAACAGTCCTATCAACTGTCCACACCCGACAGACTAACGTTCTTGGGGAACATTCCTAGTTCAGCTGCAAAATAAGATTTCTGAACTTTATTTTTTTTACGAGTGTTTTAAACTACCTGCCCGATCCTACCTCCAAACAGTTATGGTGAGCGAAACGTTCACCCCACGGGTAACACAGTGTTCCAACCCTGAGTTAGTTGGCCGTTTATGCGGCGGGTGTGAGGAAACGTACCGCCAACTCAAAATCAACTAAAGTTCTAGGTTTTACCGAAAATCACAACCCATGCGTACGCATGCACAGTACTGAGATACGTTAGGGACTAGGGACCAGCATAATTAAAAAAAAATCTATGCAAACTATTGTAACAAGTGACCGCTTCATAGCCAACGTGAACAAAAGTATGTCTGGCGATAACAAGAAACGTATTGGGGAAAGCGAACGCGGTTGACACGATCTCATCGCACCTAGCCTAATCGTATTCTGCTTGCTTCGAAGGTACAAATGAGATTGTAACAATTTTATTTATTCATTATTTTAAAAAAATCTCAACATCATCTTTATTTATATAAAATATCTAACCTCAGCTTTCTAAACTAATCCGATCCCAAGTTATTAGCATTGAACCATGCAATTCCAATGGTTAAAGGGGGAAATCAATAGTCAAATAATACTGTAGGTATCACTATCAAAAATTTTGAATTTGGTTACCGTGAACGACAACTGAAACGCCCAGTGTGTGTAGAGTAACGTACCCCTATCAATTTGTGTGTCTATCTATCTTTGCCCCCTAAAGATGGAGGAATTGCGTTACGCTTAACGCGAGCTAATTGTCGAAACTGCCCGCAAATCAAGTCAAGTTGGGAGGTCATTCGAAATTTAACCCCAAACTGTTCGCATGTTTCTTTAAAAACGGGATACAAGAACTGTAACATTCCATGATCCAATGTGGGAAAGAGGTGATGAAGCGCGTGATCGCCGAAGTGGGTCAACACCAAAAAATGCGAACCGGTAATTTCGTTGCGGTCCATCACGGCGTCCACTTGAAAAACGCCCCAGTCCATATCGTCTTTGGCCCTAAAAAAATGGGGTAGTGTCTGTGCAGATTTCGGGCTGGGTGTTACCGAGGCGTGTCCCCGTCGTGGAAGATGTCCGGGTGGTGATGTGCGGCGTTTATACCTACCACCCCAAAGCTGAAACTACCAACCAGCAGTATCCACAAGCACATTACTATTATTCTCACTGGTGAAGTTCCTGTAAGCATGTAAATCGCGAACGGTGGAAGGAGCGGTAGTATCCGTGCCATGGAAAACCCATCCTTTCCTTGAATCACCTCCAGTGTGCTGCAACTCTTTTTTTTCCACCATGAGTAAAGACCAAAACGTAACTTACTCCCTGCTCCACGCCCCGAAGAAAAGTGCACCGTAAAAAATCGGCGAGTACGCCCAAGACATATAGCGAACAAACCAGACTTTCTTGTTGGGCAACAACTGCAAGTAAGGCTCTAGTTGAATTATTTCCAGGTCGCGGATTGTATTGGTGTACATGTGGTGACTCATTGAATGGCTCACCCTCCACTTCCTAAAATGGATTAGTACAAAATACAAAGGGGCATTTTCCGGTTACCTTGATGACATTAGACTGAAATCAAAGTAGTACATCCTAAAGTTATCTCGCTGGTGGAAAAAGTTGTGAGAGGCCACTGTCGTCAGGTACAAAACAAGCCCTGCAACTAAACCCAGCTTAAAATTGAAGGTCACAGTTGCAACGAAGGTCAACGTGAGATACAAGGCCAGCAAACAGTCAGCGATCAGCTTCGATCTACGTATCGGCCACTTGGACAGACTAGGGTAGATCTCCACCACTCTATTCTTCAACGTCTTGTAAAAATCCCCATCCTTAAATGTGAAGGGCGAATTTCTCGGCGTGGTCGATTTCCGTACGAAGTATTCCGGTAGCAGCTTTTCGGCGATGTCGCTAAGGTGATGAGTTTCGAAGAGTTCGGTGACATCAGTTCCCTAGAAATCTGCGTTGAAATGTGGCGAGTAGGGGACGAGGACTTGCCTTTGTCAATTCGAGCCATGTAGATCCGCCGGGATGATCTTTGACGAACTCGTTCAAGTCGTAGAGGTTGTCGTGGACCCTCCACAAGCCTTCTGCATTGTCGTCTTCTCTCTTACCCGCTAACCACGTTGCGGCCGACTGTGATGGGGTGTTTCTGTGGGTTGGGTATTTAAAGCCTAAGGATGATTGGTCTATCTTGAGTGGGAAGAGGAACTTTATTATTTTGTTTAACACCATCTGTAACTGAAGAAAAAATAATGATTATTTTATTATTGTATAAATCAAATTTCTTATTTATAAAATTTTTTAAATTTCAACCACAGATGCCTCTAGTAAAGACAAGCATATCTCTATAATTTCAATTTTTTAAGTGCAAATCTGGTGGGTTATTTACGAATAAACACAAACTCTTGGTTTATTTTATTTGAATTTGTATTTCAGTGTTTTCTCTTTAGAAATGTTTGTAAATGCATAATTCTTACTTAAATTTTATCGCTTTGTAATTGTTCAATTTACATATGGTGAACACACATCTGCTTCAATTTGTATGTTTTATAAAAGGTTTTATTTGGTAATTGCGACAAGTTGGTTTATTGTTAGGCGAAATTTAATTAACGCTCGCGTTCTTTCACTGGTGTTACGAAGAATTGCACGTTTCATGTAGAGAAATGGGGCGCCTTCCAGAATGGCTGACGTGCAATTTATTTGAAAATTCATGAAGGAAAGTTTATTCTATGGTGTAAGTGGTGTTTCCTTAAATACTAGACAATAAGAAAACGGAGCTTTTTTACCTTTTTTGCGACGGTTTAAGAGCGTGTACATTTTTATCGGACGTTCAGCCTGTGTACGTGGAAACGTATGTCGTCAGTATTGTAATAAAGTGTGCAGAAGATGTTAAACAATCTTAATAAAGGATTTAAGCCATTACATCGTCAAGTAAAGTAGTAAAAGTTCATGGGAAGTTTATAAAGCGTGTTGTCCGTTAGTTGTTGCACAGTAAAGCCTCTAAAAGATTCTCTTTTCATTAAAAGTGTTCTAGCACCAAATTTTGCCATCAAATTCAACAAACCAGATCTTATCATCAAGTTCTGTGTGATCAAGAAGTGATGTTACTGAAGCTCTCAGCGTATGTGTGTCAGTTTTAGTGCACCTGAATATAGTAAATTTGTTGGATTATTTAATAACTGGAAGTTATTAAAATTTCTTTATTTTCAATTGTCTGTCGACCGCATGCGTGCGGGGTATGTGTATAAAGGTTTTTTTTCAATGTCTTATTTAATTTTGTTTTTCATGTTTTGCGAAATCTTTTTCATTCAAACTGTACATTTTATCGAACACGAAGTGCGGCCCAGATAGGGTATTCATGTAAAAAAATTTTATTCGTTCCCAAAAATTATGTCAGGTGTTAATTAAAATTGGTGTAATTATGTACTTCTTTGGAATTTTCGGAACTTGATCAAGGCTGGTGAGTCTTTCAAATTATAAATTTGCAGTCAACGTTGAGATTTTTCACTGTGAGTCTGTACCAAGTGCCAACTTTCTATTTGGTGGGTGGATGGAAATTTCTTCCAAAAGAGAATAGTTCTACAAAGATCAACGGCATTTGGATGAGGAAGACGCCGGATAACCATCCTATATGTAATGGTCTCAGAATCTGTGCTCCGACAAAATGGAAAAATTCATGAATAGGTAATTGGTATTAGCATTGAATAATAAATGGTATTAGTAAAGTTAGATGAGAAGGGCGGGGGGGAAGAGAATTGTGAAGATGCAACTTTAGGCTCTTAAATGGAAAACAAAACACGTTGATTTAATCCTCGTGGTACAAAAAAAATAGATTTGCATCGCCATTTAAAATAAAATTGAAACGACCTTCGCTGCGCTTCTCTTTTTCTCAGTAATAAAAAAAAACCGGTCTTTAACGCACAGAAACAACCTGACTAAGCTTAATACGTATTTGGGCGGAGATAATTACAACCGGAAAATTGATTTCCGTGAATTAATGTCCCAAAGAATTGATCGAGATCCTACTTTTTTCAAAAAGGTCTGCTTTAGCTTCTTCTTGAAGAAACACAATCCATACATAATTCAAAAACATGTTACCCAATTTCCCCAGAAATATCCCTATAAAGAAATTTAACTGGTGATTGGTGAACTACATCGGAATCTATTGGAAAAAGTGATAGACCCTCTGATCGCATAATCTTTGGAGCGTAAAGTGTGCGACAATGGGGACACGATGATAGCCTTTGCACATTAAACAAGATGGGGCTCCGCCACATTAACATTATGCACTAAAGGTTCGGTAGTAGTTCAATGGATGGTACCCTAGTAAATGGATTGACAGAAGAGGTGTAATTTGTCATAGCATGGCCATCACTGCTTAATTGTCTACCATCACATTGGTTACATTGACATTAGAAAACGGTGGTGGTTCTAAACGCAGAATAACACATGAAAACTTGCTGAGTTGTCTTAAACGTACCTTAATAATTGGCAAGTACAGTGAGGGACCCCTGGCTGTAATTTTTGAACTAGTAGCCCAATCTTGGAACAGGCCACATTCTATAAGAAAATCTTTTTTCTTGGTCGATCTGAGACAATTTTCTTTTCGGGGCTCAAAAAAAGGCAGTGTATAACCTTCCTTTTTTACCAAAAATCTAATGCACCAAAATATCTCGGGAAAACACTTTTTCATATTAATTTTGTGGCGTAGAATCCAAAACGATTCGTACTTTTTCGATTTATCAATCAAAAGTTTTTCGAAAGAAAATTCAAAGGGCTGTAACTTTTGAAAGTAGCCCAAAGAACGTTCTATAAGAAAATCTTTTTTCCCGGTCGATCTGAGACAATTTTTCGGAGCTCAAAAAAAGACGTTCCTTTTTACCAAAAATCTAATGCACCAAAATATCTCGGGAAAACACTTTTTCATATTAATTTTGTGGCGTAGAATCCAAAACGATTCGTACTTTTTCGATTAGACTTATCAATCAAAAGTTATGGACTAGAAACCAATTTCGAAAGAAAATTCAAAGGGCTGTAACTTTTGAACTAGTAGCCCAATCTTGGAACTGTTTGAAATTATGGATTCTGCAGGCTACATTCTATAAGAAAATGTTTTTTCCCGGTCGATCAGAGACAATTTTTTTTTCGGAGCTCAAAAAAAGACAGTGTATAACGTTCCTTTTTACCAAAAATCTATTGCACCAAAATATCTCGGAAAAACACTTTTTCTTATTAATTTTGTGGCGTATAATCCAAAACGATTCGTACTTTTTCGATTAGACTTATCAATCAAAAGTTATGGACTAGAAACCAATTTCGAAAGAAAATTTAAAGGGCTGTAACTTTTGAACTAGTAGCCCAATCTTGGAACTGTGTGAAATTATGGATTCTACAGGCAACATTCTATAAGAAAATTTTTTTTTCCGGTCGATCTGAGACAATTTTTTTTTCGAGGCTCAAAAAAAGGCAGTGTATAACCTTCCGTTTTTACCAAAAATCGACTGCACCAAAATTTCTCGGGAAAACACTTTTTCTTATTAATTTTGGGGCGTAAAATCCAAAACGATTCGTACTTTTTCGATTAAACTTCTCAATCAAAAGTTAGGGGGCTGCGCCACATTATCAGCTTTAGCGGTTCGGTAGTAGTTCAATGGACGGTATCCTAGTAAATGGATTGGCAGAAGGGTTATCATAGCATGGCCATCACTGTCTACCGATTTGACTTTCCTTGATGTCTTTCTTTGAGGACATTAGATAACGGTGGTGGTTCTAAATGTAGAATGTAGCCAAAATTTACGACCCCTTTGAAGAGTTGTCTTAAACGTACCTTAATAATTGGCAAATACAGTGAGGGACCATTTGATTTCGTCATTTCTTGTATAAATTTTCGACCACTTAACTACTTAAAAGGAATTATCACAATCCACCCGAGTACTACTAACAGAATAGAATGAAGATCGCGCAATAACTGACAATTTGTGAGATAGTTACAAAATATTGATAAAATATTCACAATTCCGTTACCCACCTGTTTTGTTCGAATTGTAGGTCAACGGAACGATTTAATTAAGTAATATTCATTTGCGATTGGCTTATGTAGTACAAAGTCTATTATTACTGTCTAAGTAGGTATTGTACATCTTTCACGACCATACTTAGTAATCAATGTTTAGACGAATTAAGGTCACTTCTATATAAACAATGTAACGTAAATGCAATTCGTTACACTTTAGGTAATTAAAAAAATGCATACCTGTAGCCTGGAAAGATACACTAGCTAGAACGTATTCTATTTGTACCACAACGTTTGAACTATACAGTTCGTTTACAAGATAATTTTATTATCTATGACGAATTATGATACATGCATTTTAAGTAACCTAAAATTAAATAAACATAAAACAAGGATTGGGTCAGACCTAGTAAACAAAAAATCCAAAAGTTCAACCAAAACCAAGTCGCACCTGGGGCCCAAAAGGGTCCGGAAAATTCAGTGAGATACTGCTGTAGTCTACTGAGGAAGACTTCAATTGAGGGATAAATTGTAATTTGTAAGTTTCATGGAAGGTTCATTTATTCATTTATTCATTTATTCATTTATTCATTTATTCATTTATTCATTTATTCATTTATTCATTTATTCATTTATTCATTTATTCATTTTAGTCATTTATTCATTTATTCATTTATTCATTTATTCATTTATTCATTTATTCATTTATTCATTTATTCATTTATTCATTTATTCATTTATTCATTTATTCATTTATTCATTTTAGTCATTTATTCATTTATTCATTTATTCATTTATTCATTTATTCATTTATTCATTTATTCATTTATTCATTTATTCATTTATTCATTTATTCATTTATTCATTTATTCATTTATTTATTTGTTCCTCTATTTTTGTGGACCCTCAACAGGTTTGGGCTCAATTACAGAGTGACCCTCATAATGCTTTTCAGAGATGCCCTTGCAGAAACTCTTAACTTGTTCTATACTACTCCGGTATTTACCTTACGAATTAGGAAAACCTACTTCCATACAAAAAGAAGTACCATTCAGTACTGTTTAAAGATTGATTAAGAGTACATTTAGTTTTCTGATACCTTTAGGATTACTCTGGTACTTCCTACCTTCCAAATCTCGCTAGGCAGTACAGCATAAATAAGCAATAGCGCAATTTCGTACTTCCTATGTAGTAAATATAGATTTACGAGTGCTGTGGTACCTTT